GTTTCGATGATGCGTCGGGCAAACGAATTACATGCCTCATGCTTTAACAACTTTACTCGTTCAGACGTAAAAATTCAGATGCCTTCAAAGTGCGCGAGTGGAGTAGAAATAACGCGTTCGCCTCGCATATCAGTTGTCTGAAGTTCAAACTCCGGCATGGCCATTGGATATTCGCTGTCAGTGAGCCCAAATAACATCGAGGCTGGAGTCCAATGCTTTCCCTCTTTGGTATGAACTTGTCAAAATAATTACGCCAGGACAGGAGGACGACTGTTCGAACGAAAGTTATGTGGACGCAAACAACGCTTGTAATACGGGAAGCTGAGAATGCAACGGGAATTTTCAGGAAAACGCCCTATAATTCGAAAATCGCCCAGGTTCTATGTTCTCTACCAGCAAACAGCGCAGCTTTGTGGAACAAATTGAACTGCTGCTGAGCAAAACAATCGGAATTGCTAAGCCTATTGAAGATATCAGGCAGATTTAGTTCAGATTCCAGTTTGCAAATTAAAACATGCATTCACCGTATAATTTTTGTGGCTGGGCCATTTCTTGCAGACATATTTTATGTTTACCTATTTGTTTTTGATTATTTAATTTACCTTTATTTCATACACCGATAAACTTCATTTCCGTGCCACTCAACTACAGTACGGTTTAACGATTTACTTGCTGATAATAATATAATGCAATATAAAATATAATATATATATAATAGTATAATATGAGTGATTGTGAACCCCACGATGTGTTTACTCAACCCGGTAAATCTTTGTGCTTCTGATGTTGGTCTGAGGAAATTTTGAAATTTAAATCAAGAGGTCGGTTTGGACTGTCATCTGCGAAGCTTTGCATGGCTGCTTTAGCACGCATCTCAGAAACTATATGATGTTCTCAGAAACCCATCTGATGTTCCGATCCCACGAACTTCCGGGCGGCAAATGAGCTGTAGGAGTAACTCGTTTTAAGATTGAATCAACCTTTGATGATTACAACGGTGTGGTCACATGTAGAGAGGAGTGAAAACTTTCAAGATGTAAGCTTCATCTAGCCTTTGCTGGCGCGAATCACTGTAGAGTTTCTTTGGACGCAAACCGCTAATGAGCCCCGACAAGGATGGAACAGCCATATATTTTAAGGATGGACTGACGTCAGTTGCAAGAGGAAATGTGTTTTGTTTTTTAGAGAGGATGAGTGTTGACTTTCAGACATTCCACAGTGGGCTACTTTGAACAGGGTAAATTGCAAAATTGTTGAAAAGAAAGAAGAACAAAGGAAACGAGTGACCGAGTCTAAAGTTTATAATTTTCCGTAAATTACTGAGGGTTACAGAGGTCCCAACGGCCGACGGAGAGAGTTTAGTTGTTTTGCTCCCTTGCGTAAGCAAAAATCCAAAGTTTATGAATCGAGATTTTGACGAATATCTGTTTCACATTAGTATGGCAGACTTCAACCTTTCTTTTGTCCTTTGGTGATCGATTTAGCAAAATGTTTCGTGTACAAGAACTCGGTACACCCTGAATATTAATGACAGAAGGAAACATCAAACATGAAAAATGTGCGCATCCGCTATCGCCGTGGAGGTGAGCTAACGGATCCGAAATTTGCTTCACTACGCCGGATACCGAAGGGACAGACAGTATACATCTAAAACCGACATATTTCCATACCCTGCAGTGCTGATGACTTGTGAAGGGCCTCTGAAAGTTCAATCGTTAATCATGTTGCATGCTGTTTCAATCAGTGTCATGAGCCTACACGGAGCATCAACTTCAGCAAAATTTTCAGCAACCGTTGACTGGCAGGTTCAGCTATTCACTGAAAATTTGTAAACTGTCCATTCTTTATCAATATGAGTGTCTTTGAGCAACAATTTAATAGATCAATAAGATTTGCTTTGAGATGAAAGTGCGTTTTGTTTGTTTACCATCCTAACACCCATCATGTGATTGCTTCCCTCTGAGCTGCTAACTACTGCGTCTCGTCTTGTCTGCATCTTTTTCTCGGCGACAGACACTTTTATGGGGCTTCTGTCAACAAAATTCCACTTGAAACATTAGGCATGTTGAACAATTTTGAACAGGTTGAATTCAGTCACAAACCTGACATTTGCTGAGAGAACGGATTTTATTTCGTTTTGCTTGTTTCAGTTGACGGACTGGGTTCGAAACTACAGATGAGAAAATAAACCAGTTGGTTGTTCTGTGGTCGCTTGGTTGCGATACATGTGAAGTGGCCGCTGTGCTGGCTTTTACTGGACAGAAACCATGCTTGTGTACCTAGGGGTCATACTGCTAGTTCAATTGATGATCCATTCTGCATCCCCTAACCTGCGAAGATTTTCTGTGAAAAGTTATAGAAAAACCCGACAGTACTCCAATTCATCATTGCTCGGTTTGAAGTAACCACCCAGTGGAATGTTCAAGCCCAATTATTCTGTTCCGCTAGGCGTGCAAAAGTTGCTCTACGAAATTTCGTGAGCGATTTAAAATTGATAAACGTGTCTTGAATACGTAAATGACTGTTCAACTGGGGATCCAAGACAAAAACTGGCAAATCAAACTACCTACGGAGAACTGTTCGGACCTCAATAGACAGCCGATTCAGTGGCAATCATCATTGTGCGACCTCTATTACTTGCATCTAAGCATTCAGCAAAATTAAATGACTATCAGTGTTCGCACAACTATCTCAGAGACAATCAGCTTTCTCCTGATGCCATCTGTCCTGCTCTAAAGAGCCAAACTGCCGATCGGTGGCTGTGACATTATCAAAGCCTACTTACTTACCGTTGCTTCAATTCTGAAACGACTTTTTAGAGCAAAATATGGCTTTCATCACGCAACACATGCCGCTGTTTGACTGGAGTTTTACCTATCCATTCAGCCATTGATTAGTCTGCGCCACAGTAGTATATATCCCATACAACAGTAACCGGCAGGTGTATCATCAGGATGATAAAAAGTTTGGCAATACTGGCGGGCGGCCAGACCTCGAAAATCGTCGAAGAACGTGCTAAACGAGATAAAAAACTTTTGAGTCCCTCAACGCAAGCAAGAGGCATCAATATGGGTTTGACATTAATACCACCGACTTTAAACCCGACAGCAGGCGACCGGATGTTACTAAATCTACCTAGTGTGTTCTGCTGAGCCTACGTTTTTCCGCCTTTTATTATTTGGAATTATTAAATCGTACTACTGTTTATCAGCAAATTTTGTAACTTTTAAAAACGCTTTGTCTATTCACAAGCTATTTTGGTCTTTGAGCAGACAGTACCTGTCTACCTTTGGGCTGTCGAGATGAAATATCACACAAAACAAGACATGTTAAGCATGTCTACAGCCGGGGGGTCACATATTTGTCAGAAAGACTGTCGACGTTTCCTAGCTAAACCATGAACAGTGCCTTCTTAGGGCAAAGGAAGTAGGGTTTGACATCACGGCACCTAGTGAGCACTGAATGCTCGTCTTCATTAAATAATAAGCCCCTTGTTTACACACACATATATATGTATAACATCAAGTAGGTGCAGTTCTCGAGTTTCCGTTAACCTTATGCTATGCGTAGTGTTTGAAACGCAACCCGGGAGATAAATCAAACCAGTTGGAAGTGGAACGATGTGATCTGAGGACGGAAAACATTACTACTTCAAGTTTAGTGATATGTATCTGGCTGCCGGTGTCTGGATATCAGATGCGCTCAGGTATATATTCTACCACGCCACACCAATGAAGAAGTTCACTTCAGTGTCCTCAGTGCACGACGAAATACGTGGAATAACTTTTTTCATAAAAAAATAGTGCGGATTTTTATCAGGAGTAATATCAGCATAGGACAAGGGTCACGCAGGCTGAGCAAATGGAAATGGACTTTTGGACGTTACCCACTACTCATAAGGGTACTGAAAGCTCTTCAGCAGTCCACGGCCGGTTTCGCTCCTTTTGGAGCTGGCTAGTTAGGTTGGCGCATTTTCCAGATTTCCGTCAATCTTATGTTCAACTAAAGCAAACTGGACAGATTTTCACAGGCACATATCGATTTGGTTTTTGACGGTAGACACCTGGAGCGGAGATCAGCATTGTCTTTCGTTTACAATGACCTTGAGCAACTGAATGTGCTGCTACGGGCCACCCCAATTTTCAGTTTGTACGGCATTTGGCCATTGCTTGAGAACATCATGTACAAGCGATCCATCTGGATTTCGTTCCAGGCGAGCCTTCTGTGAAAAGCAACTTGATTTGGGAGTGAGTTCATGTGTCGAAAAAAAACGTCGATTCGATAAGAAAGCACCTGTCGCTAGGTGCTGCTTGAATACAGCAATACTGTGTATTCTTATCAAAACTCACAGACGTGACAAACGTTTCGATACTTATCGAATCAAATCGCTGAAGAACTGGTTAAATACGCTGGTTTTTGATGCTTTAACAAAGATGATCGATACCCGTCGACGCACACGATCCATTGAATTGCAGATTAATGCAGTGGGCTGTGCCCGAAATCTTCAACAGGCGAACTTTCACAATTATTTTCAGACGCCCAACCTGAGAGCGCAGACGGAATTTCAAGTGTAACACTGTGATTGGATTCTGGCGATTGTCCAATCACCAGTCATCATCCTGTGGGAATCATGGTTCAATGAAATGACACCACGAAGCACCTGGTTCAAAACCCTATTAAAAGCCGCTCATCAGGCCCTATCAAATGTGGAAGGTGGTCAGACGGCAGTTGAGTTGTGAGCAGCTCATTGCGATGTTGAAACTCATCCTACTGATCACCCCGTTTTGGACCGCAATCGAGTCAAAAAACATTACGTAGGTACCTCATTATTTCAAGGATTATCTCACTGACGATTTCAGTATCCCATTAAGTGGTCCGTTATCACAGCCCATCAAGAGAGAAAATGGAGCACCATCAATTGAAGTTACACTGTACGATTATAAGGCAAGTTATTTCCACGGCTCAGAACCAGATAGTTTGATTTGTTTTAGCGCGTTAGTTATTATGGCATTGTTGGAATCGGAACCCCACCGCAATATTTCAAGTTACAGTTTGATACTGGGTCACCAGTCATCTGGGTCTGCAACGTGCACTGGGTGAAAGGACTCTCGATGATTCAAAATATGTACAACCCATCGGAATCGAGAACGCACGCTATCAAGAATAATTGGTATTCCAATAGATACGGTAACTATATCGTTTCCGGTTATGTCGCTTCGGATGTCACAAAAGTAAGTTTCCGATATCTTGTCAGAATCCATCGAATTCCAGGTTCACAGCGGCTCGTTTCGCACAAATTTTGCCGTCGTGGATAGTCATGACGGTCATTCGGAGCAGCTCAAAGTTACGGACGGGCTGTTTGGACTTGCTGCAGGACACGTTACTCCGGAGTTTCAGTCAACAGCGTTGGATGATATGTGCTCACAAGGGTTGATTACGCGACGCATGTTTTCTTTCGTCTTCAAACGGTAAGTGACAAGTGACAACTTCTATAAAAGCTGGCACAACTTAAGTAAATTTAATTCTGGCGTTCATTGCCATCCACCTACTGAAAACGTTTATCTACTGTATGAGGACTACACAACACAATGAGTTGCTGAATTATTTCACACTCAAGTTGTCATTTGGTTGAAAAACTATGCACGTCCGACAGAACACCAGTATGAATGCCTTGGTTGCTGAATTATAAAGGCTAGATGACTGGGCTCGTAATAAATTTGTTAAATGCATGGGCAAATTTAACAAGCGAACCGAAGCTGCCTGAGTTGTGGAAAAATTCAGGTGACCAACTACCTGTTAATTAATTGACTGCGGACTGCGTAGTTGGACAAGATAGTAATCTACTCATGTGCTCACTGTTTAAGAAAAACGGAACAATCTCAGGCGTCTTCTTCAACATCCATAAATATTCATTAACTAATACACAACTGTAAATGAACACAGAAAGACTGTTCCTCAAGTCTAGGGATAAACGTGACCTTCCATCCAACACCGGTTGGAAATTCGATATGACCACAAACTACTCACTTGATTCGGCAGTAGCTCAAAAATCACCAAAATTTAAAGGAACATGTCTCATGTCTATTGATAAGTTGCGCTAGGAAGAAGTGTGGTCTCCGGCCCAAAAAATTGTCAGAGCAAGTTTATCCACACATCCCTATTGACAGTTATCCTTTCCCGTATCTTAGTAACCCACTCCCCAAGAAAATGCTCTTGTATATCAATGAAGCTAGAACCAAGATCTGTTACTACATTCGAGAATTCATACAAGATCTCATCAACAAGGCTTTCATAAAATATGGTGCGCCACAAAGCAGCTTTGCCATGATAAATTTAAGCGGCATTATTTGATCTGGAAATGTTGAGTGTTTCAGGGTGATTTCCCAAGTGCGTCAAGTGAACATTCACTCATTGTGTCGACCGCCGAATAATCCAAGGAGCTAGATCGGTTTAAGAGATTGTACCACGATCCCACGATCGAATAATCCATAAGATTTCGCAGGATGTGAAACCACAAATTTATCGTCAATATAAGTTCGAGAATAAACGACACAGATGAATTAACTCTCAAAATGGTTGACCATCAAGCAATGAATTTAGGCTGTCATGGATGAGGCATCTGAATTCGAAAGAAAGCCGATTTGGACTGCCATATTCATCCACATACAGTGCGCCAAAAATGCAGATGCTAGGTGGAATGGCTTAGGGACCTCCATTCTAGTCTGATTAGGCCTTGCTACTAGCTATAAAATAGGGCCTACAAAATATCTGCTGTTTCCCGATATGTGGGTTAAAGTCTGTCACCAGGTAATGATTTAGCTACGTTTTGGCGGATGAAACATTCAAAGTAAGGTGTACTAACTACTTGAATAGATGGATTATTCAAAAGCCATTATCACCTGCAAAGTTTGTTCCTAAATAAGAGAAAAATTTGCATCGTTTTGCTCGTAATCGACACTTCTGAATTATTGATTCTTTCTCAATCAGACATACCCGTCGAACAGTCGAATATTTACTAAAACAATGGCAATTTCGTCAGTTTGTCGGCTTAACACCATAACCAAATTTGGGAGTGGCCCGTTTAAATCGTCAGAAAGTGTGACACTTCAGAGCACCAATTTTGATTTTTTGTTAAAAAAATTATACCCCGTCGAGAACAGGTTTCATCCTCTTTGGTATTTCTGGAACTATCCAAGATCGCCTCCTATACTTGCTACTGAACGATTGCAATGTGTCTCCCACCATCTGGGTTCTCACAACGTGGCTTAGTAAAGTTTGGTTCCTGGAGAATATGCCTCCTTCCCTACATTCTTATCCGCATCCGTCCTCCCGCAGCGACTATGTCAGATCTTGGTTGTTTACCGTGGATTCCTGATTAGGATCATCGCCTTTGTCGCACGTTTCTGACGCCAGACAGTACTGAACTCTGACCAGGGTTTATACTCCCCGGGTCACCACTGGTGAGCAAAGTCGTTTCAGGTTCACTGTGTGGTATTGTATGAAACACCATCCGGTATAATTAATTACTTCATTATAGATTAGAGACTCAAATGAGATTTGACTCAGTCGCTAGTTTAGAAAATACTCCACTTTTAGTTTATTCGACAACAACAATTTAGGCCACAATTGAGGGCCTACCGCTACCTAACTGAATTTGGCTTCCGAGTAAAAGTAATGTTGATTAGTCTTCGGGAGCTAGGTTCATCTCATGGTATCTTAATCTGTCAAGAGTCGTCAAGTGTTCATATTGATCTACGAATAATGCCGAATGAAAATGCCATGCTTTTGGTAAGGGCATACGGAAGAACGGCTCATAGGTTCCCCTGTTTGCCACATTTTATACCAGCGTAAAGTTTCACATCTTTGAAGCTGGTAGGCAATATTCCGCGCTACCAAACCGCTTAAATTTTATAAATAGTTTGCCTTTGAAACACATGACAGACATCTCTTCAGGTTTTATTGTGTAATCTTCCGTGACTGGCCGAATGTGAGGTGATTGTTCCCTTAATTTCTGGGTTTGCTATGACCTACCGTGGATAACCTCTATGCACCGTCCGGTTCTGCTGTTCTATGGACACGCGATGCCATTCTGAATTAAATGTCCTCAAGTTGACATAGTAGAATGCATTTGGGAGCATGCTGGATGGAGTACTTCGGGGAGCATCAGTGAAGGAGAGATTTTCGGCCTCTTGGAACGATGTTTCTTGCATTTTATCAGTTACGGCAAAGTATTTTCAATCCATATCAATAGCTTGAAGGTGAGCGCAGTGTAAGAACATCCGGTTGGATCGCACTAAGCAGACCGCTCAGAATCTCACTGATGGAAAGACCCCGTGAAAGCAAATGCTGCTCACAAGAGCGTGCCAGTGAATTGTGGTGTCAAGAAGCCTCATCGGTACTAGTCCAGCACCGTCGGGCTGCTGGATATTAATCGTTTCTGGAAGAGCTCTTGATCCGCAAAGTTCCATTCTAGCGCGGAGTCCGTAAGATCATTCAAAACTTTGCAGCGGAGGGTTTTATTCTGGTCGTCTTTTTATGTTTTCGGAGTTAACACCTAAAACCTCACAGGCCACCGAAAAAATTGGTGATGCGTCTCATTTAAGTCTCGTGTACGTCTCTTGGAGTAAATTTAGAGTGAATGCTGGAGGCCTTTTCAGGGAGACCGGTGTTCTGCGAACCAGGAACATGAGGTTTATTATTATAGTGGCGCTTTTGTCTATTTCCAGGGGAAATCGATTTCGTGAAGTTTGACACAAAGTGGGTGTTACATAGATCTGCCCTAAACAAATCAGTTCGTAACAAGAGCAGCCGGCATCGACTGACGAGTTATGGACCCGAAAGACGGTCTACACGTTTGTATCACCAAAGGTGCCGTGGTGACTTCCTCAGAAAATGGGTATGAATGAATCTTGATTACCCAAATATCCCGGGAAAGCCTTGCCCAGGGAAACGTATTTGACCTAGAAGGAGCTTGCAGATATTTCCGGCGCTCCGAGTAGTTGCTTTCAAATGTGGGTGCCGAAAGGCGCATATATCTAAACAGACGATCACATAACGGACTTTAGGGTTCTTTTGAGAATCCAGCCTAATTCGGAAGTACCATAGGGAAGAATTATCTCTCAGTTGGTCAGAAAACCATTATTGAAGGTGTATTATCCAAAAACCTCGGAGAAGGAAACAAGATGAAGAACTAAGAGCTACATAGTTACATTGGAATGTGAGACGATCACTAACGGACTTTAGGGTTCTTTTGAGAATCCAGCCTAATTCGGAAGTACCATAGGGAAGAATTATCTCTCAGTTGGTCAGAAAACCATTATTGAAGGTGTATTATCCAAAAACCTCGGAGAAGGAAACAAGATGAAGAACTAAGAGCTACATAGTTACATTGGAATGTGTTGGTACTTCCTCAAAATCGCGTTCATGTCTGTCTGATAGGGCGTAGGTGATCAAATATCTACAGGGGTGCCTCGTTGGGCCACCATTTTCTGTAGAAGATACTGGAGTCGCTAGTTGAAATGGTGTGAGTAGCTTCGAACATAAGATCCGAATCCCACATGGCTTTTTGTCAAAATCACGTGAGTATTAAGAGACTCGTCTGCGTGAATATGACTTCATGGTTGTTTTTATTAGAGAATAGGGTGTGTGCTTGTCTGCTCCGTTTTTCAAGTCTGACGAGCCCACAGTCACCTCACTGCCGCACTACCAGAGGGCAAATGGGATGCACATGGAATATTTGAATAGGTGTGGCCCAGTCGCCGATCTAGAGTGCATTCCTACCATCTCCAATAATGCAAACAGAAATCAGACATTGTTTCAGTGTGTTTCAGAGGCGGAGTTGATGGGACTGATTTGAATAGGGCCCACTCGCCGATCTAGAGTGCATTCCTACCATCTCCAATAATGCAAACAGAAATCAGACATTGTTTCAGTGTGTTTCTTTCACGGAGTTGATGGGACTGTTATATTTGGAGAATATTCAAGGAATCAAATTCCTGGGAGAGTTCACCACGTTCCCTTGGTCCCTACTTCACCACCTGTCAAAAACTGGATCGTCCGGGTCGAAAGGTGAGTACCAGGAAAATACCATGCGCGTAATTTTCTACCTTGGTGTTGTATAATTCTATTCATTTGTTATTGATCAGCGGTTAGAGTACGGTTTCCCTAACAGAAGGTCCGTGGTTTGAATCTGACCTCTGCCATCAACTTGTCCTGTCAAGGCTGATAAATCTGGCAGTAACCCAGTCTTTGGGCTTCCTTAGGGTTACATGGCAGTTAGGCACCGAAA